TGAGCAGCTGGAGCATTGCGCAGGCGCTAAGATGCATGCGTGAACTGCGCGCATCCACGAGGACGCCACCGGCCCCGTTCCAACTGAACCGGTTGGAACGGGATTAGCAACCCACTCCTGGTCTATATGATGAAAGGTTAAGGAAACTAGGTATGTCTAGCTAATGAAGAGAAGAACATGAGTACATGAGGGACTGCCACAGAGAGGTGGGAGTTGACTTATTTTGCAAAGCACCTGAGGATAAGGAACAATGAGTGGAAGTACATTAAAGAGCGATCCAATCTGAAACTAAGGATAAATTTCCTAACGGTAATAGGGGTGTGTTACAAAAATGTTACTATCGGTTTGGTGGGCGTGGATAGAGGGGAGGGCATGTGACTGAGTGGGCATGGCCAACTTGACATCACTCGCACACAGTCACATAACCCCCCCACCAAGCCATGCCCACCGAAACAGTGGTGAAAAATTATGACAGGGAGGGGCCTCCAGTCTCGCTGGAGCTAAGGGAGCACCTGCAAATTACCCAGGAAGAAAAAAAAAACTTTTGCCCTTCCTGGCCCCCAGGAACACTCTGTAGGCTTCAGCAGGGCTGGGAGAAGGCAAAAATGCCTCCGTTTTTGCAAACAATGGGCAGAAAATGGCCGGTTTTTGAAAGAACAAAGGCAATTTTGCCTTCCCCCAGCCCTGCTGAAGCCTGCAGACTGCTTCTGGGAGCTGGGGGAAAGCCAAAATGCCTACATTTTTGTAAAAAATGGCCCATTTTTGCCCATTTTTCACAAAATGGGGGTATTTTTGCCTTCCCCCAGCACTGCTGAAGCCTGCAGAGTGCTTCTGGAGGCTGGGGGGGGGGGGCAAAAAAACCTCCTTTTTGCAAAAAACATGTCTTCTTCTAAATTTATTTTAAGTAAGTAACTATACATTTTAAATCATTTTTTCATCTGTTCCCATGAGTATCTTACCTAATTCTGAATTTTCCATGTTAAAACCATACTCTTTAATATCCTTCTCATATCTTGTTTGTATTTGCATTTGTTTAAAACATCCTATATCAGTCCCTTGTTCTTCTAATTCTTTCGGGTGTGTCAAAGCTTCCACCATTGAAAGCCACATTAGTATTTCCATATAATGCTTTTCTTTCACTTTTTCCCATATTGTGTATAAACCATTTCTTACAAAATGTCTCTGAAAATAACAGTGTATTCTATTTTTCCCATACCACAAAAATGCGTGCCAACCCAGTTGCATATCATGTCCCTCCACAGACAATAACCTTGTGTTTCTCAATAATATCAATTATTTTATCCACGTTAAAGCTGCTTCTTGATAGTATACCTCCCAATTCGGTAAACCAAATCCACCTCTAGTTCTTGAATCTTGCAACAATTTAATGCTAATTCTCGCTTTTTTTCTTTGCCAAATATATTTTACTATTATTTTATTTTATTTTTCAAAGTATTTTTATTCCAGTTTTATTGGTATTGTTTGAAACAAAAATAATATTTTGGTTAACATATTCGTCTTAATTACAGCTATTCTTCCCATTAATTATAACTGTAAGTTTTTCAATTTTTTTACATCCATTTCAATTTGATTTCTTAATTTATAGTAATTATCTTCCTTGATATTGTTCACCTTGAGGTCAGCTGTATCCCCAAATATTTCACTTTCTTTACTATTTGGATATCTAATTTCTCCAGTATTTCTCTTTTATGTTTTTCTGTTATATTTTTCACTAGAATTTTTGTTTTATCTTTATTAATTTTCAATCCTACTATTCCTCTCATCTCCTTTTGTTCTTTCATCTTTTTTGCTCTTGCTCCTCTTTGTGCCCTTTCTTTTTGTTCTTTACCTAGTTTTCTCAGTTCTTTCTCCTTCTCTTCTTGCAATTTTGTTTCTCTTTCCTCTATCAATCTCTCTTCTTGTAGTCCAAAATATTGTTCATATAACAATTCTGCTTTCTCTATTGTATCCAGCCTGAGTCTTTGTTCCTGCCACGTTACTAGTATCCCTTCTGGTATTAACCATCTGAAATTGACTCCTTTTTTATTAGGCCTTTGGTCAGGAATTGATATTCTCTTCTTAGATCATGCACCCTTCTTGTTTTAGGACTACTATTTCTCTAGATTCATCATAGTATTTCTTGCAGCCTGTGAGATCTCAGTTCTCAATGTTTGCTCAGTAAACCTTATATGGGAAACTTATTTCTTATAACGTATCTTGTGTGGACCCTATATTTTTCATCAATCCCACTTGGCACTTTTCCCTTGCTTTCTTGAAATCTTAGATAATAATCAGCCTTGTCCATTTCCCAAGAAATATTTATCTTGATTTTTATGTTATTGCCAATGTATAGTCCATCTCCTCCATTTTCTTCTCTGTTGTTTCCATCTTTTCCTCCACTTTCTGCAGTCTTTGCTCATTTTTTTCCATTATCTCTTTAACATCTTTCAGATCTTCATCCACTTTATTTATTCTTTTTTGAGGTCTTCATGCATAGCCTGTAACATACTTTTTAACTCCATACTGATTTTATCTTGTTGCGTTGTTGTGTTTGATGATTTTTGTATTGTGGGGCTGGAGGTTGTTGCTGTCGATGAAGAATATGCTGTTATTTTCTTAATCTTGATAATTTATTTTTGTAATCCAAATGTCAAAAAAAGAAAAAAATATATAATCCAGATTTTGAAGATTTTGATACCCTCCAAGTATCCAAAATCCATCTATTTCAAATCTGATGGACCAAGCTTCAGGTTCTTGTTATCCTAATCCAATTATAATAAAGAGGAGACAAAAAACTAAACTCTAATGAAATAAAAAGAATAGCAAAAAATGGACCACAATTACAAAATAAAAATAAATCTTTAATCCCCCTTATTCCCTCCAGCTCTGGCAGGAGAAAAAAAAAGCCCAATAAGTAGAGAGTGGCAAAAGAGAAACAAAAAAATGTTGGCTTGAAAAAAAGATTTATATAAATCCAAGTACAAATCCACCTAAGGAAAATAGCTTCCAATCCTAATACAAGCAAAAGCTCCACAGTTCCAAAACTCTAAAGTTGTAGCCAGAAAAGCAAGAGAAAAAATACCACAAAAATCCACAGCTGATGTTATGTCTTCTTAGGAGGTAATCACCATTCTGTTTACCAAGTCACTAAGCATTGTCCAAGGTCATTCTTTTTAACTTCTCTCTTTATTCTTTAGCTAATATATTCTCTCTGTTACCACTAAGATGGCACTGTTGTTACTGGGAAAAAATGAGTTAGGGAAAAAAATCCAAAAGCAGCCTCAGAGTTCCGGATTCTTTCAATATCAGAATTTGAAAGTTTCAATAGCAATCAACTCTGTCCAATCTGCTTTCTATTTGTTGAAACCATTCTCCCAAAAATATTTAATAAATCAATAAATAAAGCATTTGCTTCTCCATCACTGCTTCTGGGGGCGGAGAGATAGTCAAGAATCCACTCTTCCCCCTCCATTTTGCCTTCTCTTTTTATGTTCTCAGTCAATCAGAAAAAAGTTTTTGAATACAGTGTATCCCAAGATAGTATCACAATCTCACACAGATGTTCCAGCATGCTTTCTCCCTCTCTCTTTGTGTGACTGCCCCAACTTTGACAGCTCGCAATATCTGTCTTCCTTGCCGCTGGTTTGGGAGATATTGCAGGCACTCCAGGAGGTTTGCGGTGCTCCCATTCATGTCTGCCAATGCCCCCCATTCCTCACCGTCCCTACAAGATGATTCTGACCTCTGACGGGGTCCCCAAAACAGCAGAATATTGCTGCTTCTCCAGAGCTCTGAAGCTTCATGTGCATACTGCTGTGACGCTGGCCACGCCCCCCCCACTCCGAGAGGCTTCTTTTCCACCCAGCCGCTGACGCATGTGCAGCTTTTTTCTCACTGGCTGGAGGACTTTTTGGCACCCTGCAGCCAACAGCTGGGTGGAAAAGAAGCCTCCAATCCTCTGGCACTCAAAAAGGTGGCTGAGAGCTTCTTTGCCAGCAAGCCGCTTCCCAGCTCCAATCAGCTTGCCATCCAATGGACACGAGCAGCAACCAGGAGACCGATTCAAGGCATAGTCAGCCTGCCATTTTGGAGAGCCAGCCCTGATTTTTACTACCGGTTCTACTGAACCAGTCTGAACTGGTAGGAACCCACCTCTGAATAGTAAGAACAATTAAACAATGGAACAACTTGCCTCCTGGCTTGTGTTTGCTCTATTGCTGGAGGTCTTCAAGAAAAGATTGCCCAGCTATTTATGTAGGATAGAATAACAGCTCCTGTCTTAGGCAGGAGTCTGCACTAGAAGACTTCAAAGGTCCTTTCCAGCCCTATGATTCTATGAACTTCTAAGAGATAAAAGGAGCTACCAGAATCAATCTACATTATCTGAATCTCTATCACATAACTTTCAGGAGTCATTGGAAATAAGTTGAGTACTTCTCATGCATAGTCCCAAAGGAGTGGACTTTCATTATTCCAGTTTTAACCCTTTTATGTATGTAATCATAATAGAATAGAGATGGAAAGTGGAAAAGCAGGTGATCCTTCTTCTAAAGGCTCTACACTAGGAAACAATTGAGTGGAGAGGGACTGTTGTGTCTAATATAAACAGACAGTAATTTTTAAGGCCATTCAGTATGTTTATGAATTCCATGAGAAGCCTCCTATTCACTGAATCAGATTCTACTGTAGCAAAAGCCTTTTTTGGCATTCTGGGAAAAATACATAATGGAAAAACTCAGTTTCAACACTTCCAGAAATATTGATGAAGAAGGTTTATAAGGAAATTGTAAACATGAAATCCTTAGCTCCCATCCTCGTGTTCTTTTTCAGAACATCCAGGGGAATATTGTCAACTTCTCATAATAAGGAAACATTCATTTTTTTAAAAAAAATCATGGAAAATAATAATGCCATTCCTATAGCAGCATTTCCTCTGTGGAAAATGTTACATTAATTATACACATATGAAACCACTGCTAACTAAGCATTTGCTGAAGTACCTTCTTCAGGACATTCTTCATCACATATTTTCGCAAACGTTTTTCAAGTTCTTCATCTGGACCCAACACAGAGGCTATTCTCAAAACCTCTGGCAAGGAAAGGTGAGAAAAAAACTGAGACTCTGGATGAAACACAACATTGGTGTATTTATGTGTTGTTGAATTTGTGCACTCTATGCTTTACTGCTAATGTTCAGAGGGGCAGGGATGTGATTCTGGCATCGTATGTAAATTTGTGAATGTGTGTATGTGCCTGTTTAAGTTGTGGTAGTGCCATCATTTTTGACTATTTTTTATTTGAAAAGAGTTGTGAATTCTCTCATATTTTCAATTTAATATAGAAGTCTTGAATATGTAGCAACCGTAGCAGTTCTGAAATATGGGCAGCTTTTACAGTCCACTTTTCACTGCCCCTTCTATATATTCAAAACACAAGTAAAAGAAATTCTGGTTATTTTTTTATAGTTGGTTAGTTATAGTTGCAAGCAGCATTCTACTGCCAATCTCATATAGTTAGTTATATAGAATTGCTTTGATATAAAGCAAATGCTGTTATATTTGAATGGGCAAAGCACACTAAATCTCTAATAAATTTTAGAAGGAAACTTTCCTATATCACTGCGATATTATTTCAACTAGGTTAGAAAATCAAATGCAATAGTATAATAATAATAAATGAGCTGAGAAATAATTCCAAATCCCAATGTTCCTGAAGAACTCACCAAAACTGTCACAAATGTGATTCTGATTCAGGTACTCTGCACATCTGTCGAAGAATTCATTTGTATCAAAGTCAGGAACATTTCGAATGTATTTAACCTGGAGGTATATAAAATTATAGCTATTCAACAATTTTTTGTCAGCTATCTATAGTCAATGTCAATCATTTTTCTAACATGAGATACCAAGAATATGGTGTTATGTAAATTATGCTAGCCATTTTATCAGCCTCTTAAACACAGGGATTATTTTTGATGCATATTTTTATTAGTAAGATGAAATGTAGTCCAAATTCCCAGAAGGGTGGGACTGCATTCCAGAGGACTAAGACACAGTGAAGTTTAGATTTTATTGGGAGGAAGAGAGTCATCTCAGCTGCTCCCAACAAGTTGTCAGAATACTGTGTTCTCCCAAAAATAAGACAGGGTCTGGTTTTCTTTTGACCCCCCCCCCAATATTGATTGGGCCTTATTATCAGGGGGAGGGGCTTATTGTTTTGGGATTGTCAGGTGGCTGCTCTCTTGCAAGCAGATGCCCGAAGAGCCAGGCACAGCCTCAGGGGAAAACTGCTGTGTTGTGCTGTTGCAGAAGCGCAACACAGCATCCATGAGGTGACCACGCTCACGAGCAGCCACCTGGAAACCCCCCTTTCCAGCCAGGCAGAGCGCCATTCACCGACCTAGTGATATCCCAAAGGCGCTAAGCCGTGTGGCGATTTTCCCACCCACCCCCCAGCTCCCGTGGCTTGGAGTTCGGGATACCCTTAAGTCAGTGCATGGTGCTCTGCCCTCTGGAAAGGGAGGTTGCGGGAGCGCCTGTTCTGACCCCAGCTCGCATGCCTCCCAGCCTCACAATGCCCTGGCCCACCTCTCCCTGCAGGGCCAGGGCACTGGCGGCACCGCGCCGCCACACTGCTTCAAGCATAACCTATTCTCTGGCTTCCATACTCTGGAAATCCGCACCTGAGTCTTCCAGCAGCAGCCGCTCTGGGAGTACACTCTATGGTTGTGGGCTGGCTGCCAGCAGAGCATACTCCCAGAACTTACAACCATAGAGCATATTCCCAGAAGACTTTCAGAAGACTTTCAGAAGACTCGGCATCCTACCTCCATGCTTTGGAAGCTGCAGAAAAAGCCATGCTGGCAGGCAGCGGTCACAGCGGAGGTGCCCTGGCTCTGCAGGGAGAGTTAGGCAAGGGCATCGTGAGGCAGGAAGGCACATGAGCAGGGAGCGGAAAAGCCACTCGCACACGCACACACCCTCGCCAGCCATGTACAGTCCCATTCACTAACTTAGGGGCATTCCAAAGGCGCCAAGCCACGGAAGCCGTAGGGCAGCGAACAGGCGCTCATGCAGCTTGGCGATACCCCTAGGTCAGTGAATGGCACTGTGCCTGGCTGGAAAGGGGGGGGGGGTTGTCCATAGGGCTTATTTTCAAAGGAGGGCTTACATTTTTGCCCAGCTGAAAAATGTGGCATGGCCTTATTATCAGGACAACAAAAGTGAAGTACCAGAGAAACTTGACAGTGTTTGGCTCAAGTAAGCAACATATTTGGTAAAATGCTGAGAGTCTTGCACATAGACAATGGAACTGAATATGCAGGTGAAAATTCGCAGGAGATTCTCAGAAGAAATGGCATAATATTCAAAGTACTGTACCATTCAACCCAGAACAAAATGGGGTTTTGGAAAGAAAGAATCATACTCTATGTGAGAGTGGAAGAACCATACTGTTTGATGCAGATATTCCAACCACATATTGGGGGGGTGGGGAGGCAATTATCACCACATAATTGAACTACCAGGAAAAACAACTGAGAAAACTCTATATGAATTGTGAAATGGAAAAGTCAAAAAACAATATATATAAATATATATAGAACTGTGTATAAAGTTGTGTAAATATAGAAGCGAAATATTATATACATGT